TCATCAAATTGAGATTGATCAACTAAAACAAAAAATTAAAGATAAAGATGATGAGATTAATAACCTAAAAAATGAACATGATAAATATAAGACAATAATTGAAACTCAGAAAAAAGTTATCGATAATTTAGAAAATGATAAGAAAGATTTAACTGATCTCTATGATCAATGTAAAAGAAATCATGTAGATTACGATTCTATAAAAAACCAATTAGAAAAAATTACAAAAGATAAGAATAAACTTGAAAAAGAAAATAAGGACTTGAAGGATAAAATAAACGAAAAAGAAAAAAAAATTGATGAGATAAATAATAATGTTAAAGAAATTTTTAGTGTAGTTAAAAATTTACCATCTATAATATTACATAAAATAATTAAGGAGATGGAAAAAAATAATCATGAAACAGTTAATATCAAAGAACAAATAAAAGGATTACAACGATTATTTAGATGATCAGTAAACTTTATTTTTATTTATTTTATTTATTTTATTTATATAGTTTTATTTATTTTTTTTATATTATTTATTTTATTTAATGTATAAATTATTTTACAAATAAAAAATAAATATTTTATACAAAATACGTTATCAGTTAATTTAATACAATATAAAAAAAAATATTTTTTAAAAAAAAATAATTAATCTAATTCTGAAGGGGTTCTAAATCTATATCAGATTCAGATTCTAATTTAGAAGGAGGTTTCAAATCTGTTTCAGATTCAAATTTCAATGCAGGAAGAACATTTTTGCATCTTAGATAAAGAATTTTTGCATCTCTTTCTTGTTTTTTTAAATTATCATATTGTTTTTTATATGTTTTTTTTTGTTGTATCAAATTATAAGGAATAGCACCTCCATATTTTGATATTTGATTTTGTTTATTACGCTATTTGTTATACGCAGATTCTGAACTTCTTTTAGCTTTTTGCTAGTTATCATACAGAATTTGTTCTGACATTTTAGTATTTAATTTTTTTTTTATAGATCGAGGCACTTAATCTGTAGATCTTCTGTACCAAATTTTCCCAAAAAAAATTTACAAAAAACCAAATTTCTTCAAAATTTTATTAAGTAAACCAAGCAAGTGCTCTTAAGTAAACTTGCTCTACACA